GCAGGCAGGCCCGGCAACTACGGTGGCCTGGGCCAGGCTCAGCTGCGCTCAGTCCTTGTCCCCACGGGGGCAGCTCCCCTTCTCTGCCAGCGGTTAACTCCTAAGGAGCAGGTGGCTTGCCTGCCGGGGGTGCCCGATGGCGCCTCCCACTCCGGCACCGGCTCCTCGCCGCCCTCTGTGGGGCCGATGCTGCTGCTGGGTCCCAATCTTGGGCCTTGGCACAGGGGCGGAGGGCCCTCCGATCCCAGTTTCCTGAGGAAGGGTCCTCCCGCGCTGCCACCTCCTCCTTCCTGGCAGGGAAGTGCCACAAGAGGCTTTGCTAGGCCCGGATGGGAGCACCCATCCTCCAGGAGCCGCGATCGGGGGCCCCTCCCCCACACGCCAAGGCCGAGGACTGGGACCCAGCAGCAGCAGCGGCATCGGACCTGTGGAGGGCAACGAGGAGCGCCAAGGCCCGACGCAGCCGCTGGTGCCTGTGTGGAAGGCAGCATTGTGCGCCCCCAGCAGGCGCACTACCTGCTGCTCAGGAGCTGCCTGCCAGCAGAGAAGGGGAGCCGTTCCTCTGGGGCCAAAGACAGCACAGCGGTGCCAGGAAGGTGGAGGCGGCATCGCCGTGGGAGGAACCTTCCTCTGGGAGCTGGGATTGGGCCCCCTCCACCCCATGCCGAGGCCAAGGACTGGGATCCCACCATCAGGTGCGGTACCTTCCCTGCTGCCACCTCCCACCGCCACTGCATCCCTTTCCCTAACCATTGGGGCGAAAGAGCTACAAAGAAGCAGCTGCTTTGCCACCAACGGTTTGAATTTCCCATCTTTTCCCCCTGCCTTTTCCTGGGTGTAAGTCGAAACACCAGCCGCAAGTTGAAGCCAAATTTTGCAGCTGGAGCTGGTCATACCTTGAAATGGTCGTAAGTAAGGACGAACATAAGTCGAGGCACCACTGTATTTTATTTAACAAAAATGAAACAAAAATAAAAAACTAAATATTGTGGTAAGTCTGTAAGTCAAGGGTCCACAGTACTTTGAAGATTAACAAGTGGACCCTTGACTTACAGACGGCTTCGCCACCAACGGTTTGAATTTCCCATCTTTCCCCCCTGCCTTTTCCTGGATGTAAGTCGAAACACCAGCCGCAAGTTGAAGCAAAATTTTGCAGCTGGAGCTGGTCATACCTTGAAATGGTCGTAAGTAGGGACAAACATAAGTCGAGGCACCACTGTGTTTTATTTAACAAAAATGAAACAAAAAGAAAAAAACTAAATATTGTGGTACTTTGAAGATTAACATATTTATTTTAGTGTCATCTTTCAAGGATTACAATCCATTTCCTTACTGTGCTAAAGTAATACACAGTTAAAGTAGGCTCATTTGAATTAATGAATCGTATGGAGTAGTTGACTCACTACAACCCCATTGATTTAATAGGGTCACTGATGTGATTAAGTACATTAAACAATAGGAGTTTGGCCAGCAAACTGAAACTGTTCCACCAATTCCATACTACATTAAAACAATAGGAGTTTGGCCAGTATCTGACAGCAAACTGAAACTGTTCCACCAATTCCAGTTCATTGTATGCATTTTAGTTTAGTTATTCTAGTGCAGTGGTTCCTAACTTTGGATCCTTAGGTGTTCATCACTAGTTCTGCTAGCTAGGATTTATGGGAATTATAGTTCAAGAATGTCAGGGGACCCAAGGTTGGGAACCATTGTTCTAGTGTGTGGGTGGAAAATAGAGTACTGTGTGGTGAATCAGCAGCTGGCTTCTCATGGTTATTTAGATCTTCTGCCCAACATAGGAGGGTGCTATGATTTGATTAGATCCACCATTCTCCAAACAATAGTAGGTCAATAGGGCTCATCTACTGAACGAATGAATATTCACAGAATATTCTCAGGTAGAGTATTAAACTCATTTGCCTGATCCAGGAAAATGTGTGCCTAACATTTATTTCACAATCTTCCCATCTTAATCTCTTTTCATTTTGGTCCTGATGGATTTGTTTATTGCTTTGGCACAATGTACAATGCAATGAAAACAGAAAAAACAGGAAAATTTTCCCAACACTTTTCATCTGTAACCATTTTTCCTTCCCTATTCCTCTATCTATAATGATTAATCTTTCTTGAATGGTACTTGTATTAATAGAACAGTATTTTGGGAAATAGCATTGATGTGTTCTACACATATGGAAATACTAGGTTTTTTTTGGTCATAACAAGAATATCAACTGGATTTTTAATTAGCTGCTAAATACTAAAATCATTTATATTTCTGTGTTTGTGCATATAGCTCCACAATGCTGTGGCTGAAATGGAAAAGGAAAAATTTGATCTTCAGAAGAAGCACACAGAAAATATCCAAGAATTGTTGGAGGATACAAATGCACGTCTGAGTAAAATGGAAGCAGAATATTTGGCTCAGACAAAAGCAACTGTAAGTTGTACATGGTAGCCAAAGTTCAATTTTACATTTTGCGTCATAAAACAGCAGTTTGCACTGGTAACTTTTCTGAATGCTCGCCGTTGTAGAAAACAATTACATAAATATCTTCTGTCTAATATGCCTAAATAAGTATTATGTTATGCATTTTCACAGTCCAAGGCTGAAAAAAGTGTTAAAACTGGTTTATTAAAAGGGATTTATTCATTTATTTGGACTTCTACCTCGCCCATCTAGACCAAAGGTCTACTCCGGGTGGCAAAGGATGCACTATTTTTCATACCCCTTTTACTACTCTTGCTCCTGAATTCCACAGGGTTGCCTTTCTCTTTGTTTTATGCCTATTATAAGTTAATGGTGCTGTGGCCTTCACACAACTTTTTTTTTATCTGTTTGGGCAGTTACGCAGATGGCAGTCACCTCTAACCCCCCCTCTCCAACCCCCCCTTACTAAGTCTGGGGTTCCTATTTGAACCTGTACAAAGGAATTCCTTCTCATGGATTATTCCTATCAATAATCTAGGTAAACTGCCAGTTTTCCCTTTTAGTCTGTTGTTTAAACATGGCCATAGCAGTTTTAAAAGTGTAAGAATGCTTCTGATGAAACACACAGCCTTAATGGCACTGTGTAAACCATCATGCACTAATGGTGTTTTTAAAAATAGCAATTTGTGACCTTTATTGTCAGAAATGATAAGCAGAGTTTGTAAATAAAAAAGAAATGTACTATTAAAACCCAAAGGAATATAAAATTGTTAGGAAAAAGTAAGCTATAACAGTGTTCGAGCCGTCAGCTTTGTCATTAAGCCATATGCTTTTTAACTTTATGTCTTTATCATTTCATTCATTTTTTTACAGATAGATAAATAAAGGTGGATGCTTGTCTTGACACTATTTCCCATGAGAACACTAGTTTTCACATGTTATTCACACACAAAAATCACTCAGCTTTGACTAACAGCATGATTCTTTTTATCTCAGATTTATCAACAGCTTTTTCTCTTCCTCACAAATTTGCATTTCTCTGCCTCATCCCCTAGCTATATATAAGATTGCATCTCTACTGCCAGGAAACATTCCATTCTCAGACCTCTCAACTGTTTTACCTGTCTCTGCTTGCAAAAATCCAACCTACAACTGTCAAAGAAACCACAGTAACTTATTATGCATGCAGCGCAAAACTATATACAAAATACATTTACAATGTATAGTTTTTATAGCCACATCTTAATTATAAATTAGTAGTAGTCCAGTGCACCAAGGTACATACTAGCTAGCTTTCCCTCTCAGCGTGCTTTCTTTTCTGTGAAGGATTAATCCTGGAGAAGTACAAAACTTCTATCCCACCGTAGACCTGGATTTTTATGTTGATATGTCTAATCAGCAATTGCTCTTTAGCAATGAATGTAGCTGTGTATCATTGAAGCAGAATACATCATGTGAAAGGCAGGACTGGAGGAATCCCAAACCGGAATTAAGATTGCCGGAAGAAATATCAACAACTTCAGATATGCAGATGATACCACTCTGATGGCAGAAAGTGAGGAGGAATTAAGGAACCTTGCAATGAGGGCGAAAGAGAAGAGCGCAAAAAATGGTCTGAAGCTCAACATCAAAAAAACTAAGATCATGGCCATTGGTCCCATCACGTCCTGGCAAATAGAAGGGGAAGATATGGAGGTAGTGACAGATTTTACTATCTTGAGCTCCATGATCACTGCAGATGGAGACAAGCAGCCACAAAATTAAAAGACGCCTGCTTCTTGGGAGGAAAGCAATGACAAACCTTGACAGCATCTTAAAAAGCAGAGACATCACCTTGCTGACAAAAGTCCGAATAATCAAAGCTATGGTTTTTCCTGTAATGATGTACGGACGTGACAGCTGGACCATAAGGAAGGCTGACTGCTGAAGAACTGATGCTTTTGAATTGTGGTGCTGGAGGAGACTTGAGAGTCCCCTGGACTGCAAGAACAAACCTATCCATTCTAAAGGAAATCAAGCCTGAGTGTTCACTGGAAGGACAGATCCTGAAGCTGAGGCTCCAGTACTTTGGCCATCTCATGAGAAGACTCCCTGGAAAAGACCCTGATGTTAGGAAAGTGTGAGGGCAAGAGGAGAAGGGGACAACAGAGGATGAGATGGTTGGACAGTGTCATCGAAGCGACCAACATGAATTTGGCCCAGCTCCGGGAGGCAGTGAAAGACAGGAGGGCCTGGCGTGCTCTGGTCCATGGGGTCACGAAGAGTCGGACACGACTAAACAACTAAACAACAACCACAACAATCATTGAAGTCATCAAGTGAGTGTCCTTTATCTCTTGTTTATAATGAGTACATCTTCTGACAAACTATAGCTCATAAGAAGTTGACCTGATATTTGACCTTATTTTCCACTTATAGATTTCTCAACATGGAAAGCTGTTGTCCTTCTAATTTATTTTAGATTGCCTTTCATCTCAAAACACTTCTCTTTACAGATAAAACATAATTTCCATAATATTACAGAAGTTAAAATTAAATTTATATTACCAAAAGTACCGCAAACCAAAATCACCACAACAGCACCTCACCCGCAATTGTGTAATTGCTAGAAAATTCAAGTCATCACAAAGATGAACAGAATAATATGACTACAGTGCAGTTTACTACATGGTTTCTGCCAGAATTGTGTAGTGAAATTCAGCATACCTACTATTGACTACAAAACGTATAGATAATCACAAGAAAGCCCGATCTTTTTCCTTAGACATTAATTCCTTTTTCTTTTCTTTTCTTTCTTTCTTTAGCTAGCAGGAGCTAGAGGGTTTTTTTTGGGGGGGGGGTTTAGTGATTTTGTGAGTGTCACCTTTTGTTGGTTTCTGGAACATGTGATCATCTGTGTTAAGTCATGGGGCAGTGATGTCCTAAGGTGACATTGAGAGTGGGATATCAATTTAAAAAAACAATTGCCAAGTGACATAGCACTGAACTGACACAGTAACTTGTGAAACTGCACTACTTGTCTGATATATTGCTAATTTTAAAAAGCCATAATAAAAATAGTTCTGAGGAGAAACCTTATGTTTTGTAAATACATATTCCATATGAGGGTTCCAAATCCCATTAAAACTAATATATACTCCCCCCCCCACACACACACATATTCCCAATGGTGATGAGTTATACTGCATGTTTCAGTTGTGATTTTATATCCCATTTATGTTTTTGTTATATTAATAAAAAAGGGAGGGAATGGAGAGCTCCTTGTTTCTCCTCCAACAATTTTTATTATGCCTTTCCAATTTATTGCTATATCGGATAATGGTTTTAAATGTTTATTTTTAATGGTTTTGTGATTTATCAATGTCTAGCTAAATACGGTTTTAGCTGTTTTGTTTTTAAAAATTTTTAAGTCATCTTGAGTTATCTTAAAAGTGAACATTGATGGGACTGACCATACATCCCTGGGAGAAGTTTATTCAGATTGGGATTGTAAACAAACAAACAAACAAATAGTTCTTTACTCCTAATTGTGGGCTGGCAGCAGGTTTCTGATACTGATTAAAAGAGCATGGCAGCTTTATTAGGAGGGCAGGCAGTCTTTTAAATAACCTGCACCAAAACATTTAGGTTTAGGATTTTAAAAGCCAGGGATCATTGCAAAAATTAAAATTAAAATTAAAATTAAAAAAAGGCAGTTAAAGACACCCATCAATCACAGTGGCAGATAATCTCTCCCCCCTGATCACAACAATACATCCACAACAAAACACGTTGATCACCATCATCTCCCTATCTCCTGAGAAGGACAAAAGCTGTTCCCACAGTTATAGATAACTATCCAACAAAGAGCAACAGAGCATGGACAGCGTTCCTACTCCTGTCCTCTGAAGATGCTGGCCACAGAGATTGGTGAAACGTCAGGAAGAACCACCTCCAGAACATGGTCAAAGAGCCCGAAAAACCTGCAACAACCATACTGGAGTGGCTTGCCAGTTCCTGCTCCAGATGGATCGCATTTAGTCAGAATTCTCCACTATGACTTGCCAGTTTTGGGTGTTCCTGCTCGGCATAGCCCATAGCTTCTCTGAATTACTTGAGCCTCTTCACCACGACAAGGCAGCAATCCGTGAAGGGGTTTTAAAAAAAGCTAGTAGTGAAACCCTATGAATGATAAAATTCGCAATCCAGCTCATTCTAGAACTACTCCACTTGGAACTTTGTCCTGCTGTGTGATACCAAAACTGTGTCAGAGACAACGCATATGGAGTGTGTTCAACTTCTTCTCCTGCCATGCACAAAGGGTCCACGACTCACTGCAGTACAGGAGTGTACTCAGGACACACCTCTATAGACCTGGATCTTGGTACAGTGGTGCCTCGTATGATGACGTTAATTCATTCCGAAAAAAATCGCTGTCGAACGAAAACGTCATGCGATTTTAAAAAGCCCATAGAAACGCATTAAAACCCAATTAATGTGTTCCTAGGGGCTTAAAACTCACCGGCCAGCGAAGATTCCCCATAGCGCGGCCATTTTTGCTGCCCGTGCAGCGAGGAATCCGTGCAGGAAAACAGCGGGCGGCCATGTTTTTCACTTGGCGGCCATTTTGAAACCGCCAATCAGCTGGCCGAAAATCATCGCTTTGCTATAATCGGTTAGCAAAACAGGGGACCGATCATCGCAAAGCAAAATTCCCCCATAGGGAAAATCGTTTTGCGATCGCTTTTGCGATCGCAAAATCTTCGTCGTGATGCGATTTCAGCGTCAAACGGAGCGCTCGTAATGTGAGGCACCACTGTATATGCTGTCAGTTTCTTATTAAGCCATACTCTCTTTGTGAGTCTAGAGAACATGGTAGCTGCTTTGGCAATGCGTTTATCAAGAGCAACATCTAGAGAGAGGGTGCCAGAGATAGTTGAGCCAAGGTACGCAAAGTCATGAACAACCTCCAATTCTTGTGTGGAGATGGTAATAAAGGGAAGTGAATCCACACACTGGGTTATGACTTG